AACATAATTTTTCCACTACACGTGTCGCACGCTTCACTCCCCACATTAATAATAATGATAATAGTAATTAAATACGATACAACCAAATAAATCTATTCAACTGAGGTTAGCTTTCAAAACAACTCAAGTTGAACTATTTACAATGTACTACAGACGACAATTCATTAATTATATACATTACTCCTACACCCAATAGAAAATCATATTTGAATAACATAACTCACCTTAAATTGAATTAAATTATTTACTCACATTCAACTAAATTATTACAACACTGAAATAAATTATTCGGCCATATTCGAAAAACACAAATTAATTGAACACAGGTTTCCTCAGTTAAATTTAAAAGAATAAACAAATTAATTCAACGCTATCTTAATCTAAGCTGAATTAATTAACCGCTGATCACTTCCATAAAATTTTTTGTTTAAACATAACCACACCAGACCTATTACAATTCAACCTCCAACCAACGCAGAAAAAATTTCTTCATAAAAAAAGTGGTGCGACGAGATTCAAATTACTTCAGTTTCGATCCAATTAGGTTATCCGTTCAAACATAACCTCCGCATAAAATGACGGAGGACACTGACTTTATACGACATTTTTCTGCGAGGAAATCGGTAAGGTGTACCCTATTCTACATAACGACGAAAATAAAAAAAGGTTGATGGTTCGTAAGGGAAGCTCGTAGTTACGGAAGATATTTATGAAATTCTTACGTGGCAACGTCTGGAATCCAGTCATATCCAATATGGACTCCATAGTGCCTATTAAAGGCCTCTTTCGTGGCTTCGATTTCCACATTCCATCTTCGACGCATTTCTCGTCCCACAGGTCTTTAGACTGCTCTGCAAAGTTTCCAGGTGACTTGTTTTCCGAGGATAAGTGGCTACCGCGCAGCACTTGTTTCTGTCTCAATCCTGGTATAACGTTTTCTTCCACCATTAACTGGTGCATAAATTTCTTCCGCCATGTAGTCGACAGAGAGCTTACCTATATCGTTCGTCAATTGTTCAATAATTTCAACGAAATCTCTTTTTAGCGTGTCTCGATGCGATCGGATGAATAATTATAACACAAAAGTAAACTGACAATGGGTAGACAAGTATCATGGTACAAAGTTGATAGTACGATGTAATAGGAGAGTGAACAGAGTTTCGATGAACAATTTTACAGGTGACCGCTCTGAAACAGCGATGAGACTATGTGCCTGTTGAAGGAGCATAGGTGTGCATGGGACGTGCAACCATGTGACGATGGTGGTTTAAGGTGATCTCAAATTTTTAAGGTTTCAAGTTTAAGAATGTGAGTGGCTGCAAACTTGGGAGAGTTTGAAGATTTGGAGAACTGGAAATATTTGAAGGTTTGGAGAATTTGGAATATGGAAAGGGGAAATAGGGATTTGGAGTTATGGGAAATTGAGGAGTTGCTGATTTGGAGAATTGGATTTTGAAAAATTTGGAACTTGGGAAATTGGAAATTCATGGAATTGGGAATTTGGGAAATTTGGAATTTGGGGAATTGGGAATTTGGGGAATTGGGAATTTGGGGAATTGAGAATTTGGGGAAATGGAAATTTGGGGAAATTGAAATTTGGGGAAATGGAAATTTGGGGGAATGGAAATTTGGGGAATTGGGAATTTGGAGAATTGGAAATCTGGGAAATTGGGAATTTGAGGGATTGAAAATTTGAGGAATTGAGAATTTGGAAATTTGGGGGATTAGGAATATGAAGATTTGGAGAATTAGTAATATTTGCAAATTCGAGGCATTAGGAATATCCGGAAATTTGAAAAAATAGGAATTTCACTATTCAGCGATTTGGACTTTTAAGTAGACTAATTCAAAAATTCAAAAATTTGCTAATATAGTAATTTAAAGGTTCGATAATTTAAAAATTTATAAACTTGTAATATTTGTAAATTGCCAACTAAAAAAAATTACGAATGTCAAAAATGAAAATTGTCTCCTCATAACCTCAAAATATATTTGAACAGCAATATAATGCAAAAGTACACAATCCACAGAGCGTGTCAATGTATACTTGATTTTTTTTTACTACAAAGCGATGGAAAGCCATGTAGCTCGGTTCTAATCATAAATCGCATAGCAGAACAGACTACATTGATGAAGCTATTCATAGCAGGGTATGATCGAAAATAAGGGTAAAATAAACGGCGCCGGTCGGATGTCAAGTGAAGAGGTAGCAGACAGGCTCGCCTACGAGGATGTTCTCGAAAAAGGATAAAAGAGGCGGAGGAAACGCGAACGGGGCCACTATACTATTGCTTGCTATTACTATAGTAATAACGTCGACATTGCTGTCGTGTTATATGCAGGAAATTAAGTTTCTTGAATATCTTCGCTAAGCAATTTCGAGACTCACGATTAATTATGATTTGCCATTCTTTCAAAATTCTCGTTTCTTCGCCAATGAAAATACTGAGGTTAATTTCACAGCGTTAATCGAACCGTTCTTACGACATAAATATAATTGAATCTGAGATTGAATAATGTATCTATTTTCTCTTCCTGTATGGTTAGATACGTTTTGTACTTTGTTGCAGTACGTTGGAATCCAGATTTAAAGCAAGACTCCCTTCATCGAAGTTCTTCTATGTGCTTTTAATGTTTATATTTTTACATTTACGATTTTGCAAATATTTTAATTTGTATATACATAAATTCGATGATTTGTCAATTTACAAATATTTAAATTGACTGATTGATAAATGAACATTCAACTTTCACATTTTCAAAATAATCCATAACGTTAAAATTAGCAATCCTTCCATGTCCAAAAATTAAAACTATAAATCTTTAAATTCCTAAATATCACACCACAAAATTTATAAATCTTTAATGAAATAATCTCTACAATTTTCACGGTGTATACCTTTCCACACTTATTCCCACAGTCCTGTTCGGTATGTAGCACCACTGTACTTAAAATTCACCTTAAGCTGTCAACAAGAGAGTGATCGATTCTAAATTCATAAGGCAATTAATTAAGTTCTACTCAATTGGACACGTCAAACCGGTTTATTGTATTTCGATAACGATCTCATGTTTGTCATTACAATTGCCAATCAGAGTGAATCACATAATTAAATTAGTTAATACGTTTAATAACGATGTAGTGGCAAAGCGATCTCTCGGAAATTTGAAAAAATTACCGGCAAAATATGAACGTTGTGAAAAACAAAGAGAAGAAGAGAGATGGAGAGAGGCGGAGAGAGGAAGTTCTTCCTTCTCGCTGAAACGGCATCCATATTCCCGAAGTCTAAAAACAGTAATTTCCCCGCGGTAAACCGCTTCCTCGCCGCGATTTCGATCTTATCTTTATGGATTATCGAAGATTACATGCCTTCATCGAAAAACATGAACAAGATAATTCGCTTCCACATACGAATAGCCTTTATGCTAATTCCGAACCCGATGAAAGCGATGTTTCATTGTGGATAAAAGGGTGACTCGATTTTATTCTGTAAGAATTTCGACAAAAAAGGACCACTTACCTGCTCGAGCACGTTCAGCTGATGCTCCTTTGAAGATTTTGTATCTTTCTTCGTGAGTATGTAATGAGCCATTTCTTTGTCGTGATTATATCGATTTGGTATGAATCTGTCTCCGGAATAAATTTGTTTCGGAAATTGAGAATGTGTTCTGATTATTTGCGAAGATACTTTCGAGGAAAATTGATTGTTGCTGACCGGGTTCTTTAGGACATCATCCTGAAAACAGAGAAAGATTCGACGTTTGAAAATAAGAAAAAAGTTTTGATGGTAGTTGATATATTTACAGTAAACACTTCTTATATTGCCATTTTGAAATGAATCCATTGCAGTTAAAGGAGGAATATTCTTTAATAATTTGATATATTGAAAAATTTTTCGTTTTCTATCCCTATAGTATTGTCAAATACAAAATAAGGAGAGTGTGTGTCAGGTAAAAGGATTGGTTGATTTAACAATCAACTTGAATTATTATCAGTATGTGAATATTTCATTAACTACGGATATGGATTTAATTCTAACCAAATGGTAATATGGGTCAATTTGTTGCTATGCAACCACTATACTATACGTGTGTTATTTTAAAGTATGTAATATATTACAATATGTCATATGCAATGTATAGCATAATACTATAAATAAAAATTGCTATAAATAAATACTATAGATTGCTATAAATAAAAATACAGACCTGAAAATTTTCAAATGTCCTCATTACTTAAACTTCCAAATTCTAAAATCCTCGAATTTCTAAATTTTTCAAATCCAAAAAAGTTAAAAGTTGTTTTACCTATCGGTTATTACTGATTCACTCGGTATACATATTTTGCATACTTTTAGCGTATGTTATCACATTTTATGCTCATAAATGTCATATATTTCTTACTTGCTTATAGTGAATAAACATTCAGAGTATAGTGATCAAAAAATAGAGGAAATGTTATAAATGTCCTAATGATCATATTTATGAACTCCACCAACGTTTCTCAACTGTCCTCAAAAGTGACCCAAATGTTTACAAGATAAAATCTTAATAAACATGCTAAATTAAAGTCTAATGGTTGTCACCAATACTACTCATTGAGAAAAATGAGTAAATGCATCTATATTTAAAAATGTTAAAATACGTATTCACGCATATTATAAAATAAACAATATAAAATAAGGCTATAAGGCTAAATATACACAGAAGAATACAGATCTTAATATTCGTTGAGCATATACACGTGCTCCATAACCGCTAAAAACTGCTTTCTTTTGTTACCAACCTAAATAAACAAGTGTGTGAATCAATCTGAAGAAGTATAATACCCTAACAATTTGATTACTTCACTAGCGAATTACTGCTGATTGACGCACCAACAATCTGTCAAATAAATTGTGAGTTCAGGTGTGAAACACTAGTTACATTAGTTAACCTTAAAGAGTACGAGACTATTCCCTAAAATAGTTAGACACCTAAAATAGTTAAATACTAATAGTTAGATAGAGTGTAGTTCCAACACCCAATATAGGTCAAAAAATTTATAAAATTAGTCATTACCCTCAGAGACCCTTGTAAGAGACAGCAGGCAACTCCAATACTCCATCAAACCTTGTTAGTTATTTCAGTTATAAATTATACCTCTTAAAAATATCGTCTTTCAAGAGAAAATGTCAGCCTCCAAGGTTAAATCCTAATATTAATATAGACCGCCACCATGAACTGAGAAACCCTGAAGTTGAGTATACATTCTTTAGCCGCACCGATTAATTCAGAATTGCGTTATTATCGGCGTAATCATTGAAATCGCATAAAAGTACGAATATATTGAAGGTGTTGATACAGGAATGGTGCGCATTGGAGCGCGCGAAACGACTCAATATATTCATTCTTATCACCGGAAGAGCCGGATGAATAAGATAAAGTCGTCGAGTTTTGCATCGTTGCTGGGCGTATTTTCCGGTCGTGAGTGCCCCGCGGCGCTAAACACGCGATGGCGTTAAAGTAGCGAAGGAACCTGGCCCCGGTAAAGGCACCGGGCCATTAAATGTTGTACACCGGTAATTTATGGGGTGCGACAGAAGAAACGTAACCACCATCTCTGTACCAAGGTACAGTCAACAGCAAATCTGACCTCTCTAGGGACAATATGGCAACCGAGGGGAAAACAGGATGTCCACTCCGTTCATATTTAGAATATGTAGAAATTTAGTCTATCATATTTTAAAGAATATGGTGGATTTTGAACATTTTGGGATAAGTTCACAATTTCGGAATCTTGGAATTAGGGGATTTTGGGATCTTGGAATTAGGGGATGTTGGGATTTGGAAATCTTGGAATTTGGGGATCTTGGAATTAGGGGATTTTGGGATTTGGGGATCTTGGGATTTGGGAATCTTGAGATTTGGGGATCTTGTAATTTGGGGATCTTGGAATTGGGGATCTTGGAATTTGAGGATCTCGGGATTTGGGGATTTTGGAATCTTGGAATTTGGGGATCTTGGAATTAGGGGATTTTGGGATTTGGAGATCTTGGAATTTGGGGATCTTGGAATTAGGGGATTTTGGAATCTTGTAATTTGGGGATTTGGGGATCTTGGAATTTGGGGATCATGGAATTAGAGGATTTTGGAATTTGGAGATCTTGGAATTTGGGGATCTTGAAATTAGGGGATTTTTGGATTTGGGGATCTTGGGATTTGGGGATCTTGGGATTTGGGGATCTTGGGATTTGGGGATCTTAGGATGTGGCAATTTTGGGATCTTGGGATGTGTCAAATTTTGGATTTGAGGATCTCGGGATTTGGGGATTTTGGAATCTTGGAATTTGGGGATCTTGGAATTAGGGGATTTTGGGATTTGGAGATCTTGGAATTTGGGGATCTTGGAATTAGGGGATTTTGGAATCTTGTAATTTGGGGATTTGGGGATCTTGGAATTTGGGGATCATGGAATTAGAGGATTTTGGAATTTGGAGATCTTGGAATTTGGGGATCTTGAAATTAGGGGATTTTGGGATTTGGGGATCTTGGGATTTGGGAATCTTGGAATTTGGGGATCTTGGGATTTGGGGATCTTAGGATGTGGCAATTTTGGGATCTTGGGATGTGTCAAATTTTGGATTTAGGGATCTTAGACTTTCAAGCTTATGAATACGATTATCTACGGATTTGGAACTAACATGGAAATTTAGAAACATAGGAATTTGGAAATTTAAGAAATTAAAAATTGACAAGTTTGAGAACATGCGTATTTAGGAGTTTGGGATTGTGGGATCAATGGATATGAGAATCTAGGGATTTGGGAGTTTACATATTTTGGGACGTACGAATGTAACACTTTGGGGAATCGGAGATTTACGTATATGGGAATGTAGGTATTTCACAATCTATGGATTCAACAATCTTGGGATATGGGTTGGGATTTGGAGATTTACACATTCTTAGATCTACATATTGGACAGATTATACATGTGGGAATATAGCGGACATGAGAATCCAGAGATTTAATCCTCCAAAGGTGTTAGAATATACGAATATGATTCCCTAAGGATTTGGGTATGTACGGATATGAGAACGTATGAATATTAGAATATGCGAATATCTGGACGTCTATGGATACTCTGTATCCATACATACAGATGTTCTGTAGTACTTAGAGGATTTAGAAATCTATATGTTAGAATCTGGGGATTTGGAGATCTAAGGATATGTTAACATCCTTAAGTAAGTTATGTAAGTGGAATAAGTACCTAAATTCGTAACGTATTTATATGCGAATCAAAGGATTTCAGGATTAGGAATTTAAGGATATAGAAGTATATATAGATATAGGTATTAGGAAATCTTGAGATTTGCGGAATTTTGATTCTCTAAAACGTGTCGACGAAGAAATTTATAAATTTGAATAATACACACCAGAAATGTCAACTTCAAACCTGGAAATTTGTCAAATTTCAGTAATTGAATTCTGGAAACTCATAAATTTAAATATTAAATATTTCAAAAACTCAGAGATATGAAAATGAAAAACCTGTTCCCCTAACATAAAAATATGTGTCCATATTATAAAGTGTACATTGCATCCGAGTGTACACATAATGCGAACTCGTCGCGTCTCGTAGCATAAGAGGTGTCTCACTCTCGCTCTGTAACCCCCTCGCGGTTCACGCATTTGCATAAAGCTGGGCCGAGACGATGACCGGGAGGAAAGGGCGCTGGAGATTAAACGCTCGAGATTTCGCCGGCCGTGTTTCTTGCACGCTACTCACCTGGAAAATCCGATGGAATACTGGCTTATCCATTTAAGACGGGACCCTTCGCATAGAAACAAGAATAGGAGCGTTCGCTCGAAGATACTGTGAGACTAGGCCGTGGGAGAAAGTGAACGAGTTACTGTGAGAAGCGATATATTAAGATTTCACGGATTTCAAAATTCACATATGCGAGTTGATGGATTTCGATAGACGAAGATTATAATAATAAAGGAATTTTTTTAAATGTTTGTATTTCTGAGATCTTCGGTAATTGTCAAGGATATTTCAGGTTTACTGTAACATGGAATTAACTTACTGTAATATGGAAACAAATATTTGCTGTTCGATTTAATTTGGTAATTTAAAAGGAGATTCATAAATAAGGGCTCTAGTACTCTAAATAATAGACATCTATGAAATTGAGCTAATGCAGCTTTAGATAATGATAAAAATTTGTTGATGTGTGAGGTCCATTAGTGACTGACACATAGTTATTTTCTTAATTTTTCAATTCGTCAATGTTTTAATTATTCAGTTTGTCAATTTTTTAACATATCAAACTTTCAATTTTCTAATTCTTCAATCCCTCAATTTTTTAATTTTTTAATTGTTCAGCTTTTCAGTTTCTCAAACTTACAATTTTTCAACATGTCAACCTTTCAATCTTCTCTTTAACCTATTAACTTTTTTATATCAATTAATATATCGAATGCTATTTTTATATGGCAACGTGTCAATTTATTAATTTGTTAATTTTTCAGTTGTACAATATATCAACTTTTCCATTTTTCAACATTTTATCTTCCGAGCCTTCCAATGTTTTAGCATTATAACCATTCAAATTTTCAATTTCTCAGATTTCCATTTATTCATCTCGAACTTGTTACTTAAAAAGTCCTCAATCTGCAGCCTTAAAAGTCCCAAATTTGTCAATTTCTAAATTTCTGTATTTTCAAATCAAAGTACGCTAAAGGTAAATA